TGCAACACATGCACATTTCTCCATTTTTTGTTGTAAAATATGCAAGTACAGCCAAATATCTGTTGATCTGAAAGAAATCCAACAAGTTGTTAACTTCCTGTGTGGAGCTGACAACTCTGCCTCTGCAGCACTCAAATCCCAAGCTTTGTCAGCCCTGCACAGTTCTCCCCTGCTGGACTCCAGAACACCTACTACTCATCTGCATAACATATGTGCAAACACTGACAGCACTGGTTGGGATTTCAGTTCACCGGGGGGCAGAGTTGTTAGCTCACTACAGGAAGTTAGGAGCTCCCTGGATTTCTGGCAGATCAACAGGTATTTTGCTGTACTTGCAGCATTTACAAAAATACAATTTGGGGCAATGTGCATGTATTGCAGAGATGTACTGATTTTGTTTTTTAATTTTGCTCAGAGCTATAATGCCTTCTCCCAGTTTATGATGATCATGCAAAATAGTCAGTGTATATATATTTATGTCTTGCCGCTAATATAAGTATGTGAAACATTTGTGTAAGTAGTTGTTAAACTGGATCTTATGCAGAGGTATACTCTTTGCAAATAAGTCATACGATAGTGGCGGATAGTATGGATAGTAGTGGTGGATGGTATGGATAGTAGTGCCAGATGGAATGGAAAGTATGGCGGATAGTATGGATAGTAGTGGTGGATAGTGTACATAGTAACAGCAGATGATCTGGATAGTAGTGGCAGAGGGTATGGATAGTAGTGCCAGATGGAATGGAAAGTATGGCGGATAGTATGGATAGTAGTGGCGGATAGTATGCATAGTAACAGCAGATGGTCTGGATAGTAGTGGCAGAGGGTATGGATAGTAGTGGTAGATAGTATGGATAGTATGGCGTATAGTAGTGGCGGATAGTATGGATAGTAGTGGCAGAGGGTATGGATAGTAGTGGTAGATAGTATGGATAGTATGGCGGATAGTATGGATAGTAGTGGCAGAGGGTATGGATAGTAGTGGTAGATAGTATGGATAGTATGGCGTATAGTAGTAGCGGATAGTATGGATAGTAATGGCGGATAGTATGCATAGTTGTAGCAGATGGTATGGATAGTAGTGGCAGAGGGTATGGATAGTAGTGGCAGAGGGTATGGATAGTAGTGGTAGATAGTATGAATAGTATGGCGGATAGTAGTAGCAGCGGATAGTATGGATAGTAGTAGCAGATGGTATGGATAGTAGTGGCAGGTAGTATGGATAGTAGTGGAGGATAGCATGAATAATAGTGGTAGATAGTATGGATAATATGGCTGATGGTATTGATAGTATGGCGGTAAGGATAGTAGTGGCGAATGGTAAGGATAGTATTGGCGGATAGTATGGAAGCAGCAAAGCTTTTAGGTACATGGAGTGTGCGTACGCATCGTGTATGACACTTAAACAGTTTAAAGAGAATCTCTGTTGAGAAAACATACAGCAGCTATGAAAAAGACTTGTACAGCTGGAGTTCACTTACTATTCATCAGCACCCCATGGACACCCATTCAGCTCTTATTATAATCTGTCACTGGCTGGACCTGATAATAGGTGCCCCACACACCATCTACAGAATCCATTTTTTTTAGGTTTTGCAGGTTGGGATATTTTGCAGGTTGGGATATCTTTGGTTCACCGACCTTTAAAGTGAACTGGTCCTTTGCACCTCTGTGCTAGCTCTCTCTTTATGTGAAGGAAGTAATGACCCATCCCCATGCCCACATTGCAATCCTTGCGGCACTTCTAATGTTACTCCCCTTTCCTCTTCCTCAGCCTGTAACTGGAGTAAAGGAAAAGCATCAGACTGATGTGCTCATTTCCTGGTCACTCTACTCTCTCCTCCTATTGGCACATAAGCACAGCAATACAACTGACTGACTCCTTGTGCTGCTTCTCCCATTCCTATTCTGAGCTCTTCTGTACAGGGACTGCAAGAGGCTGATCCAGGTCAAATTCAGGTGCTTAGACTGCTTGCACTTAAATACAGAGCTGCATTAATTGTGTCTTTCATGTCTGCTCGGAGTTCATCTTCCAGAAGGTGAAAGTGTTAACTACTTGGGGGATCAGACGTCTTTCAGAAAAGTTAGATTTCATATCTGTATTTGCAGAGGAGACTTCCCAGCCAGTGCAGAGCTATTTATAGACCCGATGTCATTATGGGCTTCTCCTGGGGACAATATTGGTGTGTTTAGGCCTGAAGTAGCCCCAGTTGGGCTGAGTTTATCTGTGTGTGCAGCAGTGTGGCTGCCAGATTGTTATCAGCCCCTGCTTAGAACAATGGCACACCGCAAGCTGCCAGCATTGTGTGCTGCCTGTTTTATGTCCACGTCCTGTTTTCACTTAATGTAAAACACCTGCTGAACCGGGGTGACATTGCCCGCTACTCTCCTCTGCAAAACTGCTGTATATAGAGTGCTAGCTCCACAGGACAAGGCTGCCAGTATTAATGTGTACTTTCTCTGTATAATATATTCATTTTACCATGATGTCCATGCACTGCTCAAATTCCAGCCAAATCCTGCTGAAGTGGCGAAAATTCAAGCCCGGCCGGCACCACCTGACTCAACAAATGTCAACTTTTCATTTGTCTAAGGAGCCGGGTGGAAAATTGTTGGCACAACAGGGACTGCGGTCAATCAGTTGCAGTCATTATTCAGGCAATCGGGCAGCTGTGGGTGCCGGCTGTCCGAATACAGTATCCTTCAGGGGAGATTCTCCCTTCTGTGCTGTTTAGCATGGATGGAGGGATACATTAGAACAAGGGTGGGCAAACTCTGACCCTCCAGCTGTTGTGGAACTATAAATCCCATGAGGCTTGACACAAAACCCGGGTGACACCATTGGAGGGGTGTCATTTTGGTCACTCCCTATGAAAAGTCGGGCACTCGGCCATGGACTGAGAGCCCAACAGTGTCAGGAGAGAGGAGGGGACCCCGGCGGCATACCTCATTCCGTCGGGTGAACGTCCCCTCCTCCTCTTCCGGCGTCCATCAAGAAAATGGCGGCCGGCAGGTGTCAATTAGATGGTCGGGCATGCACGATGACATCATCGCGCAAACGCGTGGTGACGTCACATGCATGTGTGATGACGCCACCGCGGGGTGTCACTCGGTCTCCGCTCCTGGAAACTCCCTGCCGCGGGATTCCCCTGAGGCTTTGCAAGATTCTCACAGCCACAGGCATGACTCCCAGAAACAGATCCATTGTGGGATTTGTAGTTTTACCACAGCTGGAGGGCCAAACTTTGCCCACCTCTGTGTTAGATCAAGCCACAAGTCTATGCACGTGTGTGTGTACATGGCTTGCTGAGTGTTGTAGTTCCACACCTCCCAGAAAACCAGTTTATGTGAATCTGAAGGTTTGACAAATTTACAATCTTCCATTGAACGCAGATCCAATCACTCAAATCTCATATCAGCCTAAAGTCCGTACTAAAGTCATTTTCAGTATTTGCAAACCGGCAACTTTCATTAAACAATACCGGGTGATCCTGCCATGAAGGTCCTTGCTCAGACACTTCTTGTTATGGGGTGACAACGCTCTGTACCTGTGTCCTATTTGTTCTCCTGTGTTGTCATCCTGCTACATGGGCTTCTGACTGAGACTACAAGCAGCTGAGCTGATGCACATTGCACAGGCATGGTCCACTGTTGTTACCGTCAGGAAATCTGCCCTGAGAAATGTCATGCAGCCATCCCTAGAGTGCATGTAGACAGGGAGTGGATGCAAAGAGGCTGCAGGAGATCAGCAGTGCTGAGCTGCAACAAAGGATGATATAATGGTGATAAAAGTATTTAATTGAACATAGGCAATTGTTTATGATCCATGGTGCTTTAGCAAACTATATGCTGTTCAGTTAGTTTCTACATCTACTTCCTAATGTTCCTTCAGTTTTTCCTTTGACATGAATTGATATCATGTAATATGTTTAAGCCCATACATTCTTGGGGGCTATGGCGGTAATATGGTGGCTGCATTAGTTAGAACATTTTCTGGAAGTACAGGACACTACCTGTTGATCCTGATATAAATCAAGTGTCTTCCAGTAACGTCCTGTGAGCTGAGCTATAACCTCAAACCATGTTGTCAGCTTTGTCAGTTAATATAATGAGATGAGGTGAGGGGGAGGTGCCTGTAGTCCAAATCAGGAGAGCAGCCTATGGTGACAATGCTGCTTGGGTATTTTGCAACCACTGGAGCAGCTGCTGAATACATAAGCCAACAGCGGGGATTCCTCCTTCCATGCAGAAACCTGAAGAAAAACAGATATGTTATTGAATTGGGGTAGAGCTGGGCCACCTCAGGACCATGGGCTCTGTTTCAGAAGGTAGAGCTGAGCCAACCCAGGAGCATGAACCCTGTTTTAGGGGGTAGAGTTGGGCTAACACAGGACCATGGACTCTGTTTCAGAAGGTAGATCTGGCCCAAATCAAGACCATGGACGCTATATCAGCCAGTAGAGCTGGGCAGCCCAGGACCATGGACCCTGTAACAGTGGGTAGAGCTGGACCAACACAAAGACCATGGACCCTATATCAGTGGGTAGTGCTGGGTCAATCCAGAACCATGGATCCTGTGTCGGTAGGTAGAGCTGGGCCAACCCAGGACCATGGACCCTGTTTCAGAGGGTAGAGATGAGCCAATGCATGACCATTGATCCTATACCAGTAGGTAGATCTGGGCCAACCCAGGACCATGGGCCCTATAGCAGCAGATAGAGCTGGGTCAACCCAGGACCATGGACCCTGTATCAGTAGGTAGAGCTAGGCCAACCCAGGGCAATGGACCCTGTATCAGCCAGTAGAGCTGGGTCAACCCAGGGCCCTTGACCCTGTATCAGCTGGTAGAGCTGGGTCAACCCAGGACCATGGAACCTGTATCAGCAGGTAGAGCTGGGTCAACCCAGGATCATGGACCCTGTATCATAGGTTCCTCTGCTACCGCTATGCCTGCACCACTATTTGTACCATATGCACTAATCCCATTTTTCTTCCTCCAGGTCAAGGTCTGGTTTCAGAACAGGCGCATGAAGTGGAGACACTCCAAAGAGGCACAAGCACAAAAGGACAAAGAGAAGGAAGAGTCAGAAAAGACAGAGGTCCCATGCCCCGCGGAAGGGGACCTTGACAGGAGCAGTAGTCCTTACAGGACAGAGGGGGACAGTGACAGCAGTGACTCTGAATTGCTGGACTTAATGGCCAGTGACAGTGAACGGACTGAGGTCACCTCCGAGACTCAACAGACCAGTGTCATCAAATTGTCCCCAGCCACCGACCCCTCCACGCCGCAACCCCCCCCCTGTTCAGAGACTGCCACACCACAGAGCCCGCCCCAACATTAATCCAGCGGACCCCGGATGACAGACTGCTTTGTTGGATTATGGTCCTCTCTGGATACTTCATTTAAGACACTGTGAAATTATTCTCTGGGCGGATTGTCTTCTATGGACGATTGTACCACTGGGAACATTTGGAGGAGAGCACACAACTGGCGGCCAGTGCATCGCAAACACTTTAAAGGGCCACTAAACATAACTCACCAATCGGTTTATTTATCAGAGCTTTAATGGCATCCACTGATTAACACGTGCAAGTTTCAAGTCAGAACAGAAATATTTAAAGCTGAGCTACAGGCAGATATAGAAGACACACGTTTATGCAGCTCTATATTCAATAATACATCGTTAAATGTATTTATTTTGAAATGCAAGCAGTGTAAGTACCTGAATCTGGGTTTGTATCAGCCTCTTACAGTCCCTGTACAGCAGAGCTCAGAGTGAGAGAAGGAGAAGCAGCACGAGGAGCCAATCCATTGTGCTCATGTGCTAACAAGGAACACGTTGATAGGAGGAGGAAGCAGAGTGACAAAGAGATGTGCTCATCAGTCTGTTCCTTCTCCTTTTACGACCTGAAAGTGTTACTTAACTGCAGCAGAGAAAAATCAGGTCTTCTTCCCTATCAGACAGGACTGTGCTGTGAGCTTAGGACTGGTAGGGCATACATGTAAATCCTTTGGCAGGTAAAACAGCTATATATATTGAATCTGTGTATTTAGCTATTTGCCTGGAGTTCAGCTTTAAAACTAGGCTGCAATGAAACTTAAACCTTAATATGCATACAGGGAGCTTAGTGTTCCTGCTCGGTACTCCAGTTTCTTGTTGGTCATCTTAGAACCCCAGCTTGCCATGCAGAGGAGGAATTCTCAAACACGCCCATTTGTAGGCTTATTGTTGTCTCTCACATGCAGAAAGGCTATATAAAAAAGTAAGTGTCTGCACACTTTAACCCAACCTGGATGTTTTTTTGCGGCCATACATTACAATGTGCCTCGCCATGAAAAACAGAAAGTGAGGGGTCACCTTGCGTTTTCTTGAACTGCACCCCACTGAGACCCAAGACAATCTCTCCACACTGTCCTTAGACCAGGAGGCTGCATGACAACGTCTGTATTAAATATTTCATTTTCTGTGCAGACATGGACTTTTCTACAAATATCAGTGAATGTTATTGGCTGTTATTTTTACATCTAGCTCTTCCATTGTATGTTTATTGGCCCTTTAAACCTGCAACGCCAATGCCGCCACACACCATCATTTTGCCATATACAAGTGCCACAAAATATTTACTCCTTAGACTTTCGCTTTTGTGTGTGCATATGGCAGAGGTTTCATGTGCAGAATATGTAGCATCATCCAGCAGCACGACAAACGAAATACATAAATAAATTAAAATCAATAAATGAATAAATAAATGATATAACTGTAAGAGCGTTTACAATGATTTGTCATGCAGCGGGGCACAGTGTATTCCTAATTGAAGGCTTTATTATTACAACTTGAGATGTAAGGGCAAATTATTGGTACTGTAACCAGTCAGTTATTGAAACACAAGCTGGATTTCGAAACATTTGTTTGCAGCCTTTATAACACAATTACTGAGCTGTGTGTGTTTTTTTTTTTTTTACAATTATTGCTAACTCAATTACTGAATCCCAACATCTAGGTCAATTTTTTGAGCGTAGGGATTAACCTTTGATTAAAAATAATTTCTTTTTTTTTTTTACATCCTTTCTCTTCATTTATTTTTTTTTACATCCTTTTTTTGTCACACAAAAACTCTCTCATCCAAATTTGTAAATAATAATTCATTACAAAGTTTGCTTTGTCTATAAATTGAGCAATGAATATAAACTATATCACAATTTTACTGTAATATCATTAGGATTTATTGAACAAAAACTTACCAGAGGGTTAATATTTAGTTCATCAGCCCTAGAACCGTGAAAAAAATTTGAATTTTAGCAGCCCAGGTTTTAGTAGTGTAATGCGCTCTTTTAATGCGATCTTTTGAATTGCCGTAAATTAAGGCAGAAAAAGGACAAAACTGCTAGTTAAAACATGTTTTTTTCTTGTGCCAGATGGACGGCTGCAAATTAGCTTCAATTAAAAAAAAGTCAGAGCTGTAGATTTGCAGAACGCGCGCCTCTCCAGCGGCTGTTGAGCTGCTAGTCCTATGTAGCACCAGTGTAGCTTGGACTTGTAGTTCCACAGCAGCATCAGAGGGTGCTTAGTAGGTTTGCAGTGCAGCGCTCAGTCCTAGGTGTGGATCGGGTTGTCTGACTGGTAGATAAATCTTTTGGTTATTGCTGCAATCATTTAAAACAATCCAGATTGATGCATGGTGTGTTTCCACCTCTACTTGTTCCCAGTGTGTATCTGTCATGTGCCTTCTGTATAATGTGAAACTGCTTAGACTGTTTTACAATGTGTATATCCCCTTGAAACATGCACTGAAAATACTGTAAATAAAAGATTTATTATTGTTTTTGATCTTGCGTGTCTAATAATATTGCAGCAGAATGATCAATTTACTATCTTCATATACTGCAGGGGTGGGCATTACTGGCCCTCCAGCTGTGCTTTTACTACAAATACCATAATCCCTCTGCCTCTGGGAGTCATGCCTGTGGCTGTTAGAGTCTTGCAATGCCTCATGGGACTTGTAGCTCCACAGCAGCTGGAGTGCAGGAGTTGCCCACCCCTGATATAATGTGTGATAAAAGTTGATAAAACTAAGGCCTTGTTCACATGGGCCACCAAGGGGTAGTAAAAACAGGCGGTTGATTCATGTGTTTTACCTTACTGATCCCCAGCTGCCTGTGTTATTACCACAACTGCGAAGTGCGGTACAAAATGTCATGAGCACGATGATTTGCTTCACAGTGCAGCAAAAAGTAGACAGCGTGTCACTTCCGGTGTAGGGATTGCCTGCCAAATGCGACCATTGAGTGAATGACTTCCTGCTGCAACCGCCTGCCAAGCGTTCGTCATGCAGTTGTAGCAAGTTCCCGTTCACCACATTTTTTTGGGGGAGGCAATCCCTACCAAAGGTTGTGGCCTGTTAGTTCCATGTAAAATTCCCCTTAGGCCTCGTTCACATGAGCAGCGGACTTTACCGTTCCTTTGAAAAAACAACTCAGAGGGCGGTAGCAACGGCTTCCAGACGTTCAAGAGGTGATGATGCCACCTCCTGAATGCCGGGATTTTATTTATTTATTTTCCCTAATAAGGCTGGGTTCACACCTAGGCGTATCGAATATGCGCGTTTGGTGACACGCGTTTTTACCGCGATTCGACAAACGCGCGTTTCCGAGGGCTACTTGGCTGTATCCCATAGGAAACAATGGGATTTCGGTGTTTGAGCGTTTTGCAGAGCGTTCGAACGTGCTACAAAACGCCCAGGTGTGAACCGGCCAAGAGTAAAGATCATTAGAACAACGCCAAGTGCTCATCTCTGGCCATTACCAGTGTCTGTGGATCTGACGTAATGAGGACCTTTCGCCAGACAGGAAGTGAAGGAAACTCTCCAACTGCAACACAGTCAAAGTAAAACTGCTTTTTTAAATACTGGAACCCCCGGTCAGCTTTTTATTATTGTCTGTTTCCCTGCAGATTATCAATAATTTCCTGACTGGTAAAACTTTGTCTCATGTTTCAGAACAGCTGACTCCAACTCTCTCAGCTCTGCTACCCTAAACTTCCTGTCCAGTACAAGATCACAAGGGGCAGCACAGCATCCAGCCACCATCCATCTACTAGCTTGGAGAAGGGAGGAGAGAGGAAGGAGGAGTGGGGAGCTGAGAAGCTGTTTGCCTTGTTGTGCCTGTATGTTTGTGGAAACACACACAGCTTACTAGCACACACAAGGGTGGCTCCATAGGACCCTGCAAGGTAGAGGAGCCACCCTAAAACAGGATATCAGGGCCAGTGCTCAGAGGACCAGTTGATTCCGCAAAACTAAAAAACTAAAACAAGAAGCAGCATCCATTGTAAATGATTTCAACACATATGAAAGAGCTTACAATATTTAAGATAATCTTAAGAGGTCATTAAAATACATCAAATTTTTTTTTCCGTTTTCAATGCAGTGTAAAGGGGTAATAGTCTTTTAAGTTATACAATGTTAATGGGAACATGTAACAAAAGTGGAAAAATAGAATTACATTTTAAGCTGGCCAATCTGTACAATATACAATTACCATTAGATTTGCCAAAACCATGTAGTATGAGGGCCTACATATTCAAACTATTTCATGTGTGTTCTCTCAGGCAGGCTCTTGCTCTACATACAGTAATTGTTGGTGGAGCTAAAGAAGATTGTACAATCAGATAGTATTGTGTATGGTGAGATTTAGGTTATCATTGCTAGGGAATATATTCTCTCCATCCCTGGGACAGGAGGTGAGGACAAATCTCTACCAAAGGAACACAGACAGAAATAAAATCACCTTTATTTTAAATGGCGTGCATTCAAAAAATCTAGAACCTGCATCAGCGTTTTATTGCTGTCTGCATCCCCGTAGGAGTGATTTCCCTTCACTTTCTGTCCTGGAAAATCCTGTAGCTGGTTTGCCCAGCAGAATTATGATTCTGCCAGTTATAGAGAGAAGCATGGGTGATGACAAATGAATGAATGAATTAATAAATACATAAGTAAATAATAATAATAATAATAAAATAAATAAATATATACTGTATATATACTGTATATCTCCACATTGGATATAAAGCCATAGATATAAATAATATAAAGTATCAGCGTTTTATCGTTGATGTTTTGATGCAGCTCAGTCCAGAAATATATATGTGTATGTGTGTGTGTGTATATTGGGAGCTAAAATCTGTGGCTTCTTATTAATCAGGTAATTTATTATGTATTATACTTTGTCATTTTTTATTTTTATTCAGTAATAAATGGAAGCCCAGCAGGCACATTTATAAAAGCTCACATTAGGAGATTCTGCATTTTCATTAGATTCCCTTTCTACTTGACTGTTAACTGTTCTTTATGTTTTGCTGGTCAGACCTATAGATTTTTTCTGTTTGTTGTACAAACTTTTCTTCGTATTGTGGCCGGTCTTCCCCTTGAACTGGATTCCCACAAAAAGTGCCTTATATATGAGTTTTTGTTATAATATCTGCATGTTACACTTTGAATGGTAAATGATACATTCTAGGGTTACAAATAAACATGTATGATTTTAGTATGATTCCAAAAAGTTTCCCAGAAGACTTAAATTGTTTTTTAC